TGGCTTTTGCCGTGTAAAGCCTGGATAAAGCCAGCTCATGCGTGGCTTTTGCCTTGTAAAGACTAGCTAAAGCTAGCTCATGCCTGGCTTTTGCCTAGTAAAGCCTGCCTAAATCCAGCTCATGCCTGGCCTTTGCCCTGTAAAGCCTGCCTAAAGCCATCTTAAGCTTGGCTTTTGCCTTTCAAAGCCTACCTAAAGCCATCTCATGCCTGGCCTTTGCCTTGCAAAGCCTCCCTAAAGCCATGCTCCTCTTCTACACATTAATCTTGATGAGTGAGCACATGATTAATACTTGAACAAAATCAGTCCACTGCATATGGAGATCATATAGTAGCTACACTTGGAAGACTATGTTGGCTTCAACTCTGTGGTGAAGATGTTTGGAATTTATTTTAGCCTATGGACAATATACCCTGGCACCTAGTGAGAGCTTGATAGGTGCTGCTTGGTATTTTTCAATGACAATTGGATTCACATACACTAATAAGAGAAGGAAGCATTCAACTCATCATGTTGTAATAGCTAGTTCATTAGATTTTAGCTTTTCTATCTTTTTAATAGCTAGTAGCTTCATGCAACTTCAACTTCTATTTTGGTTTGGACATCTTGTAAGTTTTGGACCCATTTTGGGATTTTATTTATATATTAGCCACTAGGCAAAAAAAAAGATTTGAAGGTCAATCCGATGTCGGAATTCGATAATTTTTGTATGGTTGAACTCGTATTGGAACGGATATTCGGATTTCGTGAGTTTTTTTGGGATTTGAGATGTGGGTTCCACTGTTGATTTTTAAATTAATTTTGAATTTTATTGTGAAATTTAGCATTTCATATGGAATTGATTCCTATACCTTGTGTTGATTGTATTGAATTATTTTAACTAAGATTCGAGGCGTTCAGAGGCCGAATCACGAGGAAAAGGTTTATTGGAATAAAGAGTTTGCTCAGACTGAGGTAAGTAACTCTTATAATCTTGGAGCTGAGAGTATGAACCCTAATTATACGTGGTACGTGTTTGGTGTTGAGGTGACACACATGCTAGGTGACGAGCGTGTGGGCGTGCACCCTGTGAATTGTGACTCTATTATTTCTGTGATACTGTGTAGTTACCTAAACTTATCTGAAATCATGAATCTCTACATACTAGATTTATCGAGCTGTGATTCATGTTAGAAACCATGTCTAAACTATATGCTTATTCTGATGGGACCCACCGAGGTCATTATCGGTGTTGAGTTATTTGCTTACATTGAAATTTCATACTCAGTCATGTTCATTTATTGCATATCATATCTTAGTTTCTGTTGTTATTTAATGATACATCACATCATCATTTTGGGCTAGTTTCATGACATTGTGACCCCGAGAGACTGGAGAGATTGACGACTGAGGGCCTGGTTGTGAGGATTATTATGGGATCGGGCTGCACGCCCCAGTGAGTGCAGGTACCTACTGAGTGCGAGTGCCGAGCGATTGGGAGGATTAAGTGACTGTAAGGACTGGGTGACTGGGAGAACTGAGTGACTGTGAGGACTAAGTGACCTGGATGACTGAGTGAAATGATACTCTGAGAGTATGCATATGGTTTTATCATTGAGTTGCATCGCATTAACATACACACTTGACATGCATGCATAGAGATGCATTTTTTTCATGTTGTACGGTATCACGTCATTCATGACTTCTCACACTTATTGGCATATGGGCATATTGATGCATTTTCCATTGGCTATGTGAAAAGAAAATGAAACATCTTATTTATTGTTGAAAGAAAATTTGGAAAAATTAATGTTTTTAAACTTACTCATATTTTTGGCAACTTCGGTAAAAGACTTGAGTTTTCACCAATACACTTGAAAGGCAGAGCTAATTTCAGAAATCATTACTAAGTTGAGCATATTATTATTGAATTATTACTTGTGCTACTTTAAATTATATTGTTATGAAATATTGTTGGCTATTGGTGTTGGTCCCCAACTTGTGTTCCAGTCTTTCAACCTAATGTTAAGTATGTTACTTATTAAGTACATGTGGTCGGTTGTACTCATACTATACTTCTGCACCTTGCGTGCAGATATTGGATGTTGATGTTGTTGTGATTGACGGGAGCTGCATTTGAAGATGTATATGTGTTCCGGTCATAACTGTCCGTTGTTCATGGTAACCTTAGATTTACAAGAATATGTTTATGTGCATTTCGAACATATGATGTATTTATTTCATACTAGTTTTGTAAATTCTAATCTTAGAAGCTCATGATTTGTACTACCAGTCCTTGGGGAGTTTAATAGAGTCAGTTAAATATTATTTGAATCAGATATTTGTAAATTGGCTTACCTAACGGGTTGGGTTAGGTGCCATCACGGCTAGTTGAATTTTGGGTCGTGACACCCTCATGTTAGAAAAACTAACTGCTTTCTCAACTTTGAAAATTCATTTTTGTACGTTATGGTGTTAATCAAAATATACACTGCACATCAATAATAATAAGATGAAATTATTTGGTTCCTAACCCTGAACCACTTATGAGGGGAGAATGTAATGTACTTTCGCATATAACGAATATCAAACTGATATAGATAACTTTGTTCTCATAAATAATAGTTTAGCTATTGAGTGGAGACACTCAATAAATTATTTTGCTAAACCAACGGTAATGTAAACTTATCAAGATGAACTGTCTTGAATATAAAATATGAAATTATGCTCTAAATTAAATTATTGAGCAACTTACCTCACAAACACCAAGTTGCGGGTTAATAATAAACGCACATGTAACCATCTCATAACTGCATCTTTATAAGGTTTACATGGCAGATGAATTAGCCCATATTCATCTTTGATAAATTTCATAATTCAAGAGATTCAATCCCAATTTTAGTTGGTATAATAATCGCGAGAACAAGCAACACAAGAGAATTCATAAAGAATCTTCTTCAACACTTTCCCATGTGAATTCTCGTTTATTTTGCACATAATACTTAAATCAAGATTGCTCAATAGGCCATGCCTGATAAAGTTATCTGTATTAGTAAATTTCAGAATTACATCATGACATGTGCAATTGTTAATTAAACTCCAGTTTACTATGACATGAGTTTTTATATCAATAAGCATCCATTTTACTGTGTCATATAATTTTACCATATTTTTTATTTATGTAGTACAAATCATGCAACAAAGAGGGTAAATTTTTATATACATATTACCCTATTACAGTTGTAGTAATATAAAGATATTAAATCTTCTCGTTATTTATAGTCTCAATATAACCAATCGCTTTCGCGAATACTTTAAAAACTTAGTAAGTTTCTTTGAGACTTACTACAACACAATGTCTTATTGATAATCAATTTTAGTCCTGAAAAATAGTAATAATTGGCTCTTCCAGAGATCTCAATTAATTTTGTACTATTATATATTCATCAACATCTATATGATGAATATCTCTTTTAAAGAGAAAGTTATACCATTCTGGTCATGGTCAAAATTAAATACAATATATGTTTGTTGCATTACTGCTGTCCTTTAATAATCACATTGCCAAAATATTTTGGCGTACAATAGGTACGTGTTCAATTACCATTCATACCATATTAATGACATTATTTTCTTATTTCATCTCAAACCCCCTTCTAGAGGTGAGTGTAGCATATTCTCTACCACTGACACGTTTATATTCTTCCAAGAATGAATATATATTCATAAATCACATGTTGTCACATTCATATCATGAATGGACCATAATCATCTATATGTGCTTTACAAAATCTCATGTTAAATCGGTGACAAATATTAATTTCACAAAGTGAAGGATTATTTTGAGAATTCTTATTATTCTCATTACTTCAGTGATGACGATTATAATTTAGTCTATTGCCACGTCCGTATCCATTGATATCTTTACGATAATAATTTTGTCTTCTTTGAGACTTATTACATATTACTACCACATTCTCTTAAAGGAACGAGAATGCAACAATTCAATGGGACGGGTTTTCACTTCTTATGCTCATAATCATACATGAATTTGATTATGGCAATACATAAAGATTTTACTACTTTGGGTGGTTATATATAATTTCTCACAAACACTATTAGAGTTACAATCAAGATTTATTGTCTTTGCTTGTATTTAAAATCAAATTATAGAATTTCAAGAATTTAAAAGAAAAATATAAGGTAAAATACTTACCTTAAATCAAGAATTTGTTCCTAAATGAAGTTCATGGAACAATTGAAAATCAATACGCTCAATAATATGTACAAAGTTGAGCACCATGCATGTATCCCAAAGCTTGGTGACCAAAGTAGATGCCTCTACTCAATTGGTTAGAGTCTCGTGCTGATAACGTATTATAAATAATAAAAGAAGAAGAAGAGTATATTAGAAAAAAGTGGAGAGAGAGAATTCTTATTGATTTGAGATGAATTATAATGGAATACAATATCTCTATTTATAGGGAAAAAATGACTTAACCACTGAGTAACAAACCCTGAGATCTCTCTCAAATATTGACATTCTATAATCCTATTTATAACAAAATTATGTTTCTTCGAGTGAGATCAAAGTGTCTATCCCCCGGGATTTGGATTCGAATACGTATTCAAATTCGAACGACAAGATAGAATCCTAATTAATAGTTATAAAATGAGATTTACGTAATTTATTTCAAACATTTTTATTTATTTCAAATGCTCTTTTTGAATCTCTCTTAATAACCTAAATGGTGAATTAAATTAGTGTATGAATTAATTCAAATATAGATTGAGTCGTTCACTAATTATTTCACAAAATGCAAACATATTCACCAATTGTGATACCAATAACTTTGAAATTACTTAAAAGAAAAAAATTCAATAAATATAAAATAAATAATAAATATAGCAAATTTTATTCGAAATTATTATCCTTTCCCTTCATCAAACCACGTGAGTGTCAACGGGCTTTTTCAATGCTCATTGACCCGTCTATTTGAGTATTAAAATTCCTACTGTTCAAATTACCAAGAGAAAACACAGACGACAAAACCCTAAACACAGAGAGATGCCGAAGCCAAAACGGTTGGTATGGAGAATCAAGCAGAAAAATCAGAAAGGGTCAACCTCTTCCTCCAAACCACCACCACCGCCATCGCCGCCGTGGGTGGAACTCCCTCGAGAAATCACGGCCGACATCCTTCACCGGTTGGGAGCAATAGAGATATTGCAAAATGCACAGAGAGTTTGTAGTACGTGGTGGAAGGTGTGCCATGACCCTATCATGTGGCGGGACATTGACATGGGAAGCGACATTGATGTGGACATAGGTGATGATGTCTTGGACGAGTTGTGTCGCGTCGCTGTGAATCGCAGCCAGGGTCAGTTGCACAAAATTAACATCGAGCATTTTGGCAATGACTATTTGCTCAAATATATAGCGGAGAGGTATGAATTGGAACTGAAAATTTACTCTTTCCAGTATTTAAAATTTATTTAATATCTTTTGCAAGCATTTTGGCATATTGTAGGAGTATTGAAATGTGTAGGAGTTGGTAGAGACATGGTTGTAATGTGTTTTAAATGAATTATAAATTTTGTTTTGAAACAGGACAATATTCTCTCATAAACCTATTAATCAACTTGACCTCAACTCACCCTATTATCTATTGTTGTCATATAAACCATATTAAGTAAGTTTTTCAACTTCACGAGAATGTTGCTGCAATAACATGCTTATTGGTGGAAGATGTTGAGACTTCAAAAGGATCTGCCTTTCAATTTTTTGTTTTGAGGTACAAATCACTCATCGAAATTTGATTTATGTGGGGTATATCTTTTTCATGCCTTGGAGCTACGGTAAAGTTGTCTATGTGTGAACTATAGGTAACAGGTTAGAGCAGCCACTGATGCTGCATCAGGGTAGGCTGCCTACATCATTACCCCTTGGGGTGTGGCCCTTCCCCGGACCTGCATTAATGCGGGATGCTTCGTGCACCAGGCTACCCTTTTATATCTTTTTCATGCCAAATTTTGTTACGTGCTTCTGTTTGGAGTTGGTGAATAATTTGACTTTAAGATGTGATAGAAGTTGGTTCAAATGTTGCTTATGTCTCTGCTTTTGAGTATAAAGTGCTCAATGTTAGAAACAACTCTTTTTTTTAATTTGTTGCACAATTGGCTTTTTGACTTGCTGAAATACGTATATTTAGTTGAGATAAGATTGTCTTTTCAGCTTTTGTGGATATTGTGCTAAATTTTGTGCATATGAAGAGCACCCTCGGTCGCTGCAGCACCATGAGGAACCAGACACATTAGTTCTTCTAACATGTTTATAATCTTCTGTAACTCTGTTGTGACATAATATGACTTATGTACTGCTAAATGGTCAAGCTTTGGTTAAAATGTATCTTTCGCCTTCCTTTTGGGCATTACCATGCTGAGTCATCTATTTTATTTGACATCGCTTCTGGCACCATGAGACACCAGATATATCTTTTTATCAAAAATAAATAAAGCAAGGGTGGGAAAAACTGCATGTTAGGGGATATGTTATGTGTAATTTCCATGGAAAATTCAATGAGTAAGCAAATATTGTCTAGATCAGTTGACCTAGCAAATATTGTCTAGATCAGTTGACCTAGCAAAAATTTAACATAAGATGTACTATGTGTGTGCTAAGTTCATGGATGAAATTTCAGATACCATTGAATATGCATTAGGGATATATTATGTTTAATTTACATGGAAAATTCAATGAGTAAGCAAATATTGTCTAGATCAGTTGACCTAGCAAATATTGTCTAGATCAGTTGACCTAGCAAAAATTTAACATAAGATGTACTATGTGTGTGCTAAGTTCATGGATGAAATTTCAGATACCATTGAATATGCATTAGGGATATATTATGTTTAATTTACATGGAAAATTCAATGTAAGCAAATGTTGTCTAGATTAGTTGACCTGGTAAAAATCTAACATAATTACATAAGTTGTACTATGTGTATACGAAGTTCATGTCTTTTGATCTAATCTTGTGCGCTTCTGAACAGATCAAGTCAGCTAAGGCATCTAAGACTTGTCAGCTGTGATGAAATTTCAGATGGAGGTTTGGCTGCAGTTGCCAAGAACTTCCCGTTGTTGGAGGAGTTGCACATTTACTTAGCTGTTATTAGTAAAGCTGATATAGACGCTATTGGTCGTTCTTGCTCGCAGCTCAAGTCATTTACATTGAACAACATTGGATTTAGTGGATTCAGAGGATTTAGAAGTTTACATTTTAATGTCAATGATGAAGCTCTGGCTATTGCAGGAAATATGCCTGAGTTGCGACGCCTTGCACTTTTTGGGAATAACTTGACAAATGAAGGCCTGTGTGCCATTCTTGATGGCTGCCTGCGGCTTGAATCACTTGACTTGCGCCACTGTTATAGTATTGATCTTGAAGGGGATTTAGGAAAGAGATGTCGCCAACAGATTAAGGATCTGAAGTGCCCTCGTGATTCCACTTCTGGTTATGAGTTTAGAGCTCAGATTTGTGATTATAGTTCTTCCAATGATGAATACCCATCTGGGTTGTCTGAAGCTGCTGGCCTCTCAGACTATTTGTTTGATTATGAGTATGATGACTTTGATTACGACGACTTCACTAACCCATTTAGCGGCGAGTATCTTGATGAGGATGGTTTCTTTTACTGAGATCGTTTGCTACCTGAAATTTGTTAATGGTAAGAACATAGTTCTATCGAATGCTTTTTTTTTTATTACTAGCATTGTTTTGCCCTTCTTTCCTTCTCGGCCCCCGGGAAAGGTGGGCGAGAGGGGTAAGCCTCAGCTAAAAACAATGTCTCAGGCTCCTGGTGGTGCAGCTCAGCAAGAGGGCATGCTCAGATCCACCTGGTCTAGTGGAAATCTTTGGGAGGAACGACAGAATTAGCTATTTGCTAGAAAATCAATGGTTCCACTGTTGTTTTGCAGGTTCTTGTTTGCTGGGTAAACTGCGATTCAATTGTTCAGCAAATTCTAGGTTGCTGTTCGAATTGCCATTCGTGTCATATTTTGCTGCTCTCATAGCAGTTGAAGTGTCCGGGTTTGCACATTGTTGGCAGCAGATTGTAATTGTAGTTATTAAGGCAGGCCTTAATCCACTAACCTTAGCACTTGGCTGCTTAGAACTACCAGATAACTACTGTGTTCTCTCCTTTTTTGTTTGGTTCATAACCCCTTCACATAAGTCGAATTTGGTAAATTTCTTAGTCTTTTGTTTGAATGTATATAAAAGCCACTTCAAATTATAAAAGCCACGCACATACATACATAATCTACAAACTATAAGTTCAACAAAAGAGTGGGAGGCATACCAGTCGAGCAAAAATATCAAAAGTGCCTCCACCAAGCCAAAGTGAGGACTCAACTGAAGGGAATTGTCATGGTGCCTCTAACCTCATAATTTCAGTCATTTGTTTTCACTTTGTTCGTCTAATTAACACGATCTACTTGTAGTTCGTCTCTCTTCACCTTACTCTTAGATCTCTTCAAGCTCCACATAATCGATTGGTGATTATCAACAAATTATGCTTTCCTTTATCATCCGCACTCTCAATATCTGTAATACATTGACCATTTTATATCAATCGTCAAAGATTCTTTCTTTTGGACCATATTGTTTTTTTCCAAATAGATTCATTTGAGTTACCAAGAATCCTTTGTGATTGGCCATAGTCGAGGCATCAGAAGTTGCGAGGGCTCGTGGCCTTGCTTATACTCACTAGTGATAGAGACATTTAAAGCCCTTACTTTTAAAGCACTTAATCCTGGTCGTAAGATTTTTAAATATAGTGAAAAGGGTATATGTCCTCATTCAAAAGCTTTCTGATAGACTTAGAATGAGAAATAAACTTTTAAAGCACTTAATCCTGGTCGTAAGATTTTTAAATATAGTGAAAATGGTACATGTCCTCATTCAAAAGCTTTATGATAGATAGAATGAGAATGATCTTAATAGGGAGGATATCCCTTGTTTTCTTTAGTCAATGCGTGTCATAAAAGTGACAATATATGAGAATTTTTACTTTGATATGAAGTCACTGATAATATTAATTTGAGTTCTCATAATATTCAATTAATTACTTTTAGCCTTCTATTAGTACAAACTTGCTCATTTTTAATCTGCTTACTAATGGACTCTTAGTAGTTTCAACAAATTACTAACTTTGGACCATGTGGCTGTCGCCTGCTAAGTGAGACTTATTTTGATACTTTCACTTCATAATTTTACGGAAAATAATGTCATAGCATAATAACTTCGCATTTATGGACCCTTAATTATAGTGTAAAAGATTGAAAAATAATGTCGATTTAGCATAACACATAGTAATTCACATGGACAAACGATTAGCACTTCAAATAAGCGGGAGCATTACATGCGGTTATTTGCGTATTACTATTATTGAAATTAAAAATTAATTTCTATCTTCAAGCCAACATCACCTTGAGAATTTATAGTATTTTAATGTCCCCTAAATTATTTTTTCACTTCTCTATTTTAAGAGTAACTTGTATATATGATTACTTTATTAAGTTCGAGATTATTTTATTTTATTTTTAATCTTCTCAATAGTAGTATAGTATTTTATTTTAATTATGTGCAGCACTACAGTATAAAAGGCTATTTTTGACTTTCACCTCCGAAACCCTAGCTATTGCCCCAACCCCTAGATATATAAAGTGTACTACTCCATAATAAACTCTTTGGTGCGGGCCGCTTTTGCAGAAACCCTAGTTCCAGTGAGTCTCTTCTCTCTACCATTTTTATTTCCTTCCTTTCAGTTTTGCATCTAACGTACGCTATGTACCTCTGTTGCAGAAGGTAAGGGAGAAGAAGTGAACAACAATGGCGGTGCCTCTACTTACCAAGAAGGTCGTGAAGAAGAGGGTTAAGAGGTTTATTAGACCCCAGAGTGACCGTAGAATCACTGTCAAGGTATAACACAACCTTCTGTTATTATTATTAGCCCTTTCAGCTTCCCAAATTAACTTTGTTTTGTTGTTGCATTTTTTTTCTTTTGTAAAATAAAGGAGATCTAATTGACCCTTGAAAGGCAAATAGGGGAAGAAAATTTGAGTCAGAATTAAGTTTTATTGGTTTAGCTTTTGTCCATTTGGTTCGATTTTTGCTGAGTTTTTCGGATTTTACAGATATAGTTGATAACTCAAAGTAATTCATACTACCTAAGTTGTCAAACAATGTATGAGTATGGCATTTCCTTTGAGATGATATTGTATCTAATATCTAGAGTTACAATGTATTTTGACATTTTATTTAGAAAGGTCTTGTGATAATGTTGGGATTTCAACCCTGTTGACATTAATTTTAGTGCGATATTTGATGACCTTCTCCCTGCATTTGGTTGTTTGGCTGTTTTTCTGAGTAATAGTGTTGCTGCTAATAAGATTGAAAGATTTAAGTAATTTATATGCATGCCATTTGGTTGTTATGTATGGAATCATGTTGGTCAGTTGGTTTGAAATTTAGTTACCAGCTTGGTAAAGACACTTAGAAGCATGTAATTAGCGTTTTCAAATGTAGCTTCCCTTTAGCAGTTATCTGTACAGGGCTTAATAAATTGAACTGATAAGCCAGGATGGATTTGAACTGTTGCTTCAGACCACATTCTGGGGTGTAATTGATTTCTCTATGGTTAGCTATTATGGCTTGCTAGGAAATCTTGTGAATTGAAACTGAGTGTTCAATCCTTTATAACAGGAAAGCTGGCGCAGACCCAAAGGTATCGATTCTAGAGTGAGGAGAAAGTTCAAGGGATGTGTCTTGATGCCCAACATTGGGTACGGGTCTGACAAGAAGACCCGCCACTATCTTCCCAATGGTTTCAAGAAGTTTGTTGTGCATAATGCAAGTGAGCTTGAGGTCTTAATGATGCATAACAGGTAGCATGATAAACTCACTCACTCATCTCCTGTTTCTTACTATACCTACAGGTTTGATTTATCGTGTCTTGTCAACCAACTTATTGCTCTTTTCCTTCCCAGAACTTACTGTGCAGAGATTGCACACAATGTTTCCACGAGGAAGAGGAAAGAGATTGTTGAGCGAGCTGCCCAGCTTGATGTTGTCATAACAAACAAGCTTGCTAGGTTGCGCAGCCAGGAGGATGAATGAGCATTTTGGCTTTTAAATGATATCTCTATATTGTTAGTGTCTGCACTTGTTCCTTGTGTTTGTTTGATTAACATTCTATTTTTCCCGATGCGGATTTTGATTTATCCTATTGCTATCAGATGCTTAAATTTTCAGATTTTAGTACACCTTTTTTACCGGTGTTTTGGGTAAGTGGCTTTATGTTCGTTAATATATGCTGATCTGCATGTTTTACATTAAATGGCTAGATTGTATGCTGATCTTGATTTCTTTATTACGATCTATAGATCAAAAGATTGCTCAAGATGCATCATGTGACATTAAACATCAGTGACTTGAGCTACAACTTTGTCGAAGCTTTGTTTTGATGTGATGCTACTTCACTTTTCAGTAATAATTTAGTTATTTACTGATTATGACATCTTTCTGATATTAAGAGCTTATATGATTAAGTTCATACCTGCGATGCTCTATACAGAACCTGTTGATCTGTCTTTTTTAACTGCAAATCGGTAACATATCTTCAAAAGGACTTATTATTCGCTGCCAAGCTTTTTCACATCTGCATCAAATATTACCAATCCAGTTAATTCGGATGGAATTTTGGACGATGTAAAGATCTATGTTTCATGATAGAATTTCATTTATATCTCACGCAAGCAGCTAGGAGGCGGCTTATTGTAGTCCTTTTTACTATGTATTTGTATTCTTTGAGTAGATATATGGCTCCATCTGTACTCTGGACTTAGGCGTGTGGGTTTGTTTCCTTTGCTTCCTTTGCGGTTAATAAGACCATATCAAATGATTTGGTAGAAATGACATTAGGTAGCCATTCTAGAGGACTGATATTTAGGAATTAGCCAATGTATCATGAATTTCAGTTTTGTCCTGAAATTAAGATTTTTAGTTCAAAATTTTAAGACAAAATAAGTACCGGCGAATCCCTAAATGGTCTTAAGAATGGCTATTTGTGTACTTCTCCCATTCTAAAACTCTTCGGACAGTATAACTAGCATAACTATGTTAGCTATTCAGCACGGCGGTTCCAATGCATGCCTTTTGCGTTGCCTCCGGAGCTCTTTCCTTCAGGCTGAAATTTAAAGCTGCCAAGAAGCTAAAATGTAGCCCAAGATGGTAGATGTTGCATGTGTCGTATAAGTAAGACACTGGAATTCATTATTTTGGTTGTCAATCTTATATATATTTATTTAGTATACATTTCGGTCAAAGGAAAATCTGTCTTTACATTCTTTCGTACAAATTTCTAATGTCTTCGGTACTTGCTTGTCTGGTTTGTATCATATAACTGATTTTGATTACTCAAATGAGTTGACTAATAATTGATTTAAGTTCGACGATTTAGAGATATATGAGGGCCATTTTCTTACAAGTGACTTTCTATTGTGATAACCTAACATGTTATTTAATATAAAGATAATTTAATTCAGCAAAATACGAGGCTCAAGGGTATAGGTGATATATCCTTCAATTCACGCATGGATGGCTCCAGTAGGCCTATTATAAGATAGTTGTGCTACACCAAAAGGAAATAATAATAATAATTAAAAAAAAAGTCAAGATATGACAAGGATCTCTAAGCTTAAGCAAAACTATAATAGTTTATGCTGGCAACTAGCACGAGTACATTCGCAAAAACAAAATCCAAATAAGGTTAAGTCATTCAAACCTACTTGCTAGCAACTGCCATCAGTATTTGCCGAAGTGCCAAAATACATATGTTCATTTTACGCAATCACTGGAGGTATATACGACGGACAATCTCTTTATACTTTTAGTGTGGTAGCAAAAATTCGAAAGTTCCTACTACCCCAGACATCATTGTCATCGATATGATAAGATTTTAGGCAACATCTGATCCAGGGTGGATTTCTGGAATAATCATTCATTTCACTACCATCATCGCCTTCAGAAGTTCCAAGCAACAAATTCCTCTTCTTTGTTAATGCATAAACAGAGGGGTAGCCATCAAAAAACTGTTCCTGGAAAGTGAAGTAGCATCACGTCAATTGACAAGTTAGTAGCTCAAACAATGAAAACATGCAAATCAGTCAGATTAGCACATTTCTGCAGTCATCTTGATATAGCATATTGAGGCTTCACATTTATAATCTTCAAGGGCCTCCATCTCATTATTTCCCCAATCAACCCGGGGGTGGGGGGGAAGGCATATTTTGGGACGCAAAAAGTTTTCAGTTTGTACAAAATCAACAACTATGACACACGGAATGTTCATTTTGCTTCAAGATAACAAAGTCAAACAGTTTAGTTATGAGTTTAGGTACGTTATATATACTTTCCAAATACATAAATCATAATAAAATACTGATATCCAAGTCCATCAAACATAGTCCCCAATGTGCTGCTATTTAAAGAGATCGTAAGTGCAAAAACA